GCCGAATCAACTTACTCAGATCACGTCTCAATGCTGCTGATCCTGACTTTTAAAGCCCAGGCTGTGGCGTAATGTTCGCTGATTATTCAGATGATGTGGGCATGATAATCATTAATTATTCAAATGACCCCTCGTAGTCATATTCACACAATGGGGGCTTATCTCCTAAATGTCCTTTTCTTAAAAACCATAATACAGAAACAAAACACAACTACAGTGCCAAAGATGAATCAGATACCATCATATATATATATAGCCATATAGCAAATGTTAATAATTCACAATATAGATGCCTAAAAAAAGTATATTATATATGCATTCCTAGTTTACAGCACTCATATTACATAACAGAGACCCTATATTGAGTTACAGACCATACTATATTAAACATAAAAGTCTAAAATGGTTACACCATATTACTAAATTCATTTGATAAAGATATGATAAAAAGTCAAATGAGAATTTGATAAAATAAAATTTTAAAAAAAGGAACCTACTAAAATGGAGGAAAAACAGGAATATTAGTATCTTAATAACACATATACCTAATTTAAAACCACTAAAATCACTAGAAGTTACATAGAAATAGCGCCAAGAAAATATAAAAAATAAAAATGAAAACTTAAAAGTATTACAAAGATCTAAAAAATTATACAAATCAAATTCAATATTAAGGCCCTTAGGTGCAAGGGTTTCAAATATGAACCCATTTCATTTCCTCTTGCCCAAGGTTTGGAATGAAATTACCTCCTCGCCATGATTTTCTTATTATTTGTATACCTAAAAATGTAAGGCCACTGGGGTCTTTATTATGATTTTTTTTTTTTTTTAAATGGGCAGATATGGTGGTCAAGACCTTTCCGAATATTGTTAATGTGTTCATAGATTATTTTATGTAGGGGGCGGATGGTCCTGCCCACATATTGAAACCCACATGGACATATTAAAACATAAATAATATTTTTTGTAAAACAAGTGATAAAATCTTTAATGGTGTGCTCTTCTATGTTATATTTACTCCTAAATTTACTTATTCCTTTTAAGGTACTGTTTCTACTGCACTTACACCCCACACATTTACCGCATGAATAAAAGCCTTTTTTGTTCCCACTTAAAAACATTTTAGGCACTTCTTTCCTAGGGTGATTAAAAGTTAAGATTTGCTTTAAATTTGGTGCCCCCCAAAATGTAATAAATGGTTTGTCTGGGATAATTGCCAATATCCCAGACAGGGATATAGAAGGTGCCAATGTCTATTGATAATAGATTTTATTTTCCTAAAATTTTGATTATAATCCAGGACCAAAAGGTAATTTGTCTAGTTTATCCTGTCCACTATTGTTATTCCTTTGTTTAAAAAAACAGTTCACCTTGATCAAATTCCTTTATTTCATCATAGGCTCTAATATGTTGGTAGGGTACTGTTTTTGAGAGAATTTGTTTATCACCATTTTTGCCTGTTCCGCAAATACCTCTATCAGTGCAATTCCTTCTTATTCTTTGCAGTTGTCGTTTGGGGATATTGTTTAGCCACGGGGTGTAGTGCCCACTATTATATAAAACATAACTGTTAGTGTCAATTTACAAAATTTTTTTTTTTTTTTATTGTCTTTAAAATGCCAGCATCTACATAAATTTCTAAGTCTAAAAAGTTTATATTGTATTTACTAAATACACTGCTTAAATTTAGGCCCCATTCATTTTGATTAATACTTTTAAAAAAAAAAAATTTGTGAGCCTTTCCATATAAAAAGAAGATATCATCGATATAGCTATGGTAGGTTCGTCCCCCAATTCTGGCTGTTGTAGATCACTTCCGTTTCCCAGCCTAACATAAATAAATTGACATAACTGGGGGCGAACCTGGTCCCCATAGCAGTGCCCTGTTTTTGTAAATAAAACCTAGAGTTAAAAAATAAATAAATTATTTTCTAAAATCCATTTAATACTATCAACTAAAAATTTAATGTGGTTCTTACTAAAATTTCCTGATTTTTCCAAGCATTCTTGTATAGTTCTACACCCCTTTTCATGGGAAATAGAAGTATACAGTGCCGTTACATCCGAAGTGACTAGGAAATACTCTTCCTCCCATTTAGTATTCTTTTACAATTGTATTAAGTCTGTAGAGTCTTGAGGTATGAGGGCATTTCTTTAACTAAATTTTGTAGCCAGATGTCCACGTATTTGGAAAGATTGGCTGAAACAGATCCAATACCGGACATGATTTGGAGGTTTTCCATATTTTTATGTACCTTCGGCAGGGTGTAAAACACGGGCCCTCTAGGGAATTCAACTTGTAAAAACATACTCATTTTCATTTAAAATACCCTCTTCCTTACCCCTTTTTAAAATAATCCCCTTACACAGTACAGCAATTCCCCACATTCCTGGATGTACCCCTAAACCTAGGGGTATCCCTTTAAGTGTTACATCCCCTGGTAGCCCGAACCCCTGGTCCGATCTGGGTGATTTTTGGATATGTTGCTCACCCAGATCGGACCAGGGGTTCGGGAAATTTGTGGAAGTGAAGAAAAGACCGACCGCGCTGGATAGAATAGCCGAATCCAGTTCCAGGCGATGGGGCCCTGCGGTCGGTCACTGTATAAGGGAATAAAAGACACGAATTCTGCAAGTTAGAGATCAGGGAGGGTTCGCTTGAATCCCCTCGTTCGGTTGTTTCTTTCTACCGAACGAGGGCCAATTCGGTAGTTTAAAAGCGAATGTACCATGCGTATGGAGGTCTCAGCGGTGTTCGCCTAGCCGAGTGTCCGTTTTGAGTTCCAGACACTCGACGGCAAAAGACCATTGTTCGGGAGTTTAAAATGCCACGTGTTCGTTTCCCGAATGGCGGCCACCCCGAGAACAAAGACCTCCTGCACAACTTGCCAATTACCCGTTCGCAACATTGTTGCAATTGGTAATTGGAGTCACACTTCACACTGGGGAGGTCTGGTTGTTCGGTAGTTTCATTCTCCTAATTGCTGAAATGATTCTACCGAACAACCAGGCGAATACAGTCTATTTTACACATACAATATAACAATTCACACGAATACACCAAACACATGAATTTTCTAGGACAGCCCTGTGTCCTCCGCTACACACTGGTTACACTGTATCTGAGACAGTCTCTGCTCATTACACAGTATTAATCAATGGTTACACTGTATCTGAGACAGTCTCTGCCTATTACACAGTATTAATCACTGGTTACAATGTATCCCAGACAGTCTCTGCCCATTACACAGTATTAATCACTGGTTACAATGTATCCCAGACAGTCTCTGCCCATTACACAGTATTAATCACTGGTTACACTGTATCACAGTCTCTGCCCATCGCACAGTATTAATCACTGGTTACACTGTATCCCAGTCTCTGCCCATTACACAGTATTTCTCTGGTTACACTGTATCCCAGTCTCTGCCCATTACACAGTATTATCACTGGTTACACTGTATCCCAGTCTCTGCCCATTACACAATATTAATCACTGGTTACACTGTATCTGAGACAGTCTCTGCCCATTACACAGTATTAATCACTGGTTACACTGTATCTCAGACAGTCTCTGCCCATCGCACAGTATTAATCACAGTCTCTGCCCATTACACAGTATTAATCACTAGTTACAATGTATCCCAGACAGTCTCTGCCCATTACACAGTATTAATCACTGGTAACACTATATCCCAGTCTCTGCCCATTACACAATATTAATCACTGGTTACACTGTATCACAGTCTCTGCCCATTACACAGTATTAATCAATGGTTACACTGTATCTGAGACAGTCTCTGCCCATCGCACATTATTAATCAATGGTTACACTGTATCTGAGACAGTCTCTGCCCATCGCACAGTATTAATCACTGGTTACACTGTACCCCAGTCTCTGCCCATTACACAGCATTAATCACTGGTTACACTGTATCCCAGTCTCTGCCCATTACACAGTATTAATCACTGGTTACGCAGTATCCTAGTCTCTGCCCATTACACAGTATCCTAGTCTCTGCCCATCGCACAGTATTAATCAATCACAGTCTCTGCCCATTACACAGTATTAATCACTGGTTACACTGTATCTCAGACAGTCTCTGCCCATCGCACAGTATTAATCACTGGTTACACTGTATCTGAGACAGTCTCTGCCCATCGCACAGTATTAATCACTGGTTACACTGTATCTGAGACAGTCTCTGCCCATCGCACAGTATTAATCACTGGTTACACTGTATCTGAGACAGTCTCTGCCCATTACACAGTATTAATCACTGGTTACACTGTATCTGAGACAGTCTCTGCCCATCGCACAGTATTAATCAATTACAGTCTCTGCCCATTACACAGTATTAATCACTGGTTACACTGTACCCCAGTCTCTGCCCATCACACAGTATTAATCACTGGTTACACTGTATCCCAGTCTCTGCCCATCACACAGTATTAATCACTGGTTACACTGTATCCCAGTCTCTGCCCATCACACAGTATTAATCACTGGTTACACTGTATCCCAGTCTCTGCCCATCACACAGTATTAATCACTGGTTACACTGTATCCCAGTCTCTGCCCATCACACAGCATTAATCACTGGTTGCACTGTATCCCAGTCTCTGCCCATTACACAGCATTAATCACTTGTTACACTGTATCCCAGTCTCTGCCCATTACACAGTATTAATCACTTGTTACACTGTACCCCAATCTCTGCCCATTACACAGTATTAATCACTGGTTACACAGTATCCCAGTCTCTGCCCATCACACAGTATTAATCACTGGTTACACTATATCCCAGACAGTCTCTGCCCATCACACAGTATTAATCACTGGTTACACTGTATCTTAGACAGTCTCTGCCCATCGCATAGTATTAATTAATCCCAGTCTCTGCCCATCACACAGTATTAATCACTGGTTACACTGTATCTGAGACAGTCTCTGCCCATTACACAGTATTAATCACTGGTTACACTGTATCCCAGTCTCTGCCCATCACACAGTATTAATCACTGGTTACACTGTATCTCAGACAGTCTCTGCCCATTACACAGCATTAATCACTGGTTACACTGTATCTCAGACAGTATCTGCCCATTGCCCAGTCCGCCCATTCTAATTGGCCACAGACCCCACCAATCACAGCCAGCCAGATATCCTGCTCACTTCCCCTCTAAAAAGTTTGAATGAGTCCAGCAGCAGCTGCAGGGAGGGGGAGCAGCCCTGTGGCCTGGCTGATGGCACACACTCTGAGCTGCCCCCTAGTATGGGGGTTAATAATGCTGCTATGGATCATGGAGCCCCCCAGGGCTGATGCTGGCAATGCAGACACAGTGAGTGCTGAGAGGAGCATGGTGTGGGGGCCAGGACTGCATGCTGGCATAGAGCTGCCTGTCAGGTACTTCTACATCCAAGCTGTGTCCAGCAGGGGCCACAACTTCACCTCCTCCCCAGGTAATCCACCCCCCTCCCTCCCTGGGTGATTAATGCATGGGGGGAGATCTGCAGCTCTTACAGATCCGGTGGGAAGATAGCCTGACCCCTCCTTCTTCACCAGGACTTCCTCATACTTTACATCTTAACCATTTAAATGCTGCCTGGGCTGGGGGGTCGCATGTTTAGCTCTGAAATCTGAATCAGATCAGCTGTTTATATCATTTTATATCTGGACAGGCTTGGTACAGGGAATATAATCCATTAGGGCAGACAGCTTCTAGAAGCTGAGCGTGCTGGGAGTTGTGACTCCCAGCATTCTCAGACCGAGCTGAGCGTGCTGTGAGTTGCAGTGGAAAGATAGCTTGTTTGCTGCTTTTCAGACAGTAGTGTTGCCAGGAATACACATGACTAATAATGATTAATAGGCTGTTCATGAGACGGTCAGCCCTGTGCTATGTATAATCTAAATGCAACATGCAGGAAAACAAGTCTGTATTATTTGAGGATTCCTTTTTGTGTATTATTATTATTATTATTATTATTATTATTATTATTATTATTATTATTATTGCCATTTATATAGCGCCAACAGATTCCGTAGCGCTTTACAATATTATGAGAGGGGGGATTTACCTATAAATAGGACAATTACAAGAAAACTTACAGGAACAATAGGTTGAAGAGCACCCTGCTCAAACAAGCTTACAGTCTATAGGAGGTGGGGTATAAGACACGTTAGGACAGGGGATAGCAATCAAGTTGATACCTATTGTTGGGCAGCACTTTTGATGTGCCATCTGTGTATATTATTTGGTGACATGGAAACCCTAGCAGGTATTGGGGTTTATTCACAGAAATTGTACTGTTGTAAATTGAAATCCTAATAGCAGTATTAAAAGAATGCGCCAGACAAAAAAAAAACCCACACATCAGCTTGCTGACATACTTTTATGTATCTGTAGTTTGTAGGTTTATTTTTTTGATAGTTTATAAAAGTGACCATTTCAATAGAATTCACACTTTTATGAAACTTTGCTGAAATGTATCTCCATGTTCAGACAGCAGAGGAGGTTATCGCCAGGGGAGGTGTGGCTGGGGTTGCATAAACAGAAACAAGATTAATTTTAACTCTTAAATGGCAGTGAATAGAGCAAGTGAGACTGCAGGGGCCTGACCTATACCAGGGATGCCCAGAAGGTAGATCTCTGGATGTTCTAGAACCACAACTCCCATGATGCTTTGCATGCCTTTATAATGACAAAGCATCATGGAAGCTGTACTTTTAAAACATCTGGGGATTTACATTTTGGGCGCCCCTGCTCTATACACTAAAACTGCTCTATTAAGTTAAAGTTGTTTTGGTGCTTAGAGTATCTCCTTCATTGCGCCATATTGTTTTAGCAAATCTTTTTACTCTGATTTGACTTAGCATTACTTTATGTTACTCATGTTCACGTTATTGAGCCGGGACATTCTTTGCTCCGTCTGGACTTTTGTTTTTTATTTGTCCTGCTTGGGGATGCATCCCCAAGCAGGGCAAACCTTGTAGGTTGACATCGGCACACTGACTTCGTTGCCCATATGCTGGCGTTGGAACAAAGTGATGTCACATCACTCCGTTCCTATACTCCCTACCAGCGCTAGAAGCGTGTGCTGTTGTTGCTATGGGTGGAGACAGCAGCGTACAGATAATCCATGGGGCCCTGGTGCGAAACTGATCCGTGCCCCCCCCCCATTCCCCATCACCCCCCCCCGACAGACACACACACATACCTACATACAGGCACACAGACAGACACACATACAGACACACACACACAACGCACACACATACATACAGGCACAGGCATTCCCCATCACCCCCCCCCGACAGACACACACACATACCTACATACAGGCACACAGACAGACACACATACAGACACACACACACAACGCACACACATACATACAGGCACAGGCTTACAGACACACATACATACAAAGGCATACATACAGATAGAGACAGACAGACAGACACATACATACATACATACACACACACACACAATATTTAAGTCACCCCCCCTCCCCCCCCCGTTTCCTACCTTTTAGGTGCAGGAGGGTGACTTTCCCCGAGGTCCATTGGTGGCTCAGATGGATGGGAGTCAGAGTTCCCACTCAGACTCCCTGTTCTTCCTCCCGCGCAGGCTCTCTGTATGCTGAGAGGAGTGACAGGGAGTCACTTCCTCCCAGCTCTGTGTGATCCAGCACTGACCGGGCCCCCTGACAATCCATATCCATCCGGTGGCCCTGACAGCATGGGCCACCCTTGGCGGTTTGCCACGCGGGCCAGGGCCTCAAAAGATGATGACGGGTACCCGGTCGCAGAGGTCCACATGGCAGCCGGGCCACCTGGAGTGACCAGACCGGTCGCAGCTGCGACCCCTGCGATAACAGTATGTATGCCAGTGGGTGCTACCACCAATATAACGGATCACTTGGCACCCCGACTGGGTACTTCCACTAAAGGATGCTCCCAGCGCTTCCTGAGGGCTCCAAGCACTCCAGCAGACACCTCCAGGCACTGGACGTTACTCAGTCCTAGGAACTCTGGAACCGAATGGGGAATTAGCTCTAGTCCTTACAAGGACTTTCCCCATTGAATCTCCTGCAAGCTGGAACAGCAGACACAGGAGGAAACATTCTTCCCTCCAATAACTAGACGACACACAGTTTGGAGTGTAAGCAGGAACAGACAGAGCTGTGGCTTTATTGTTTCTTATAAACATATTTTTACACAATGTTACCACCCACATGGATTTGGGCTGTGCGGTCGGTCATTTTCACTCAGAAAAATGACTAAGTCCTATTCGAATATCTTAGTCTAAGTGTGGGTTTGAATCGTCGAACGGGACTTTGTTTTCAGCCAAAGTGTCGAAGTGGAGGAGAAGGTAAGGGTCAGCGGTGTTCGTGCAAATGGGTAGCTGATTTTAGTTCCATGGATTTGGCTGCACACACCGCTGACCGCGTTCGACTAAAGATGGCCGCCGCCACGTGTTCAACTGTACGAACGACGGCAACCCAGCGGTCAGCAATTAGCCTGCAGTAATCCCCCAGCCTGGGAAGTAAATTGGCCGCACACTTCCACTTCTTTGTGGTCCGCCTATGCAGTAATTGGTTCGGTAAACCCCATTTACCGATCCAAATAGGAAAAAGCCACCATCAAAGTATTTTTTTTTTTTTTTGTCAATCTCTTTTTTATTGAGGCATTAAGTTGTATGGGATACAAAATGAAAGCAGGGAGACAACAAGGTACCATACATATCAGGTAAATACAATACACTTTAAGCCAGTTTTTAGTAACTTTGAGCCTCTGTTTATGTTAAGTAAAACATTTCTAGGGAGAGTAACGTAGTGGCAGTAAAACGGTTGATATTGTATGAAGGTATTCAGTAACTTTGTATCGACCATGCTTCTCAGTAGTCTAATCAGGCAGCTGTATGCGAGGCTTAGGTATCTCAAATAGTGAAAATTTAGGAGATTACAGGGGGCTGGGTCGGGGGGAAGAGAGAAGCACAGGGGCATTCACTCCAACTCCCTGCGAGCGTGTAGTGAAGTTTAGGCCATACGCTTTGCCTATGCACACTTTAAATAAGTGCGTTAGCGTTGTTCCCAGTGTGAAGTGATAATTTGGATTGGGTGTACCTAGCAGATACTAGCATGGTTAGTGAGCTTCACCGAGAGTGATGAACCCCTACGGTTGAACAGCTAAACTTCTGGGTTGTGGGCACGTATAAGCACTGCAATCCCCTGATTGCATGGGTAATTTGCGAGCCTGCAGCCCTTACTATGTGTAAGTCTACCCGGCACTCGTCAGGATGTCTCCCCCAGAGGGTCGCTTGTAACCAGGAGTCATCTATCTGTCGGGGTTCAGAGAGCTAAGTGTCAAGAGTGATGAAGTAATAATGGGGGATCTCAGTTCCCCTCGTCCCGGTAATCCCTAGGCTCCCGTGGGTGCGCTGCTTCCCCGTCATGAGTCGAACGTCGGCCTCCACCATGTTTGTGTCGTTGGCGTCGTGTTGCGTCGCCCGGGTTAGAGGGCTCTCGTAGCTGTATGTCCACCTTGCGTTACCCTACTTCTCTCCAACTCATGGTGTGTCTGTCAGGATGCGTCGGTAACGTGTTAAACAATGTACGGGGTGGCCCTCACTCTAGGTACTCGGTTGGCCCAGCCTTAGCCCGTGTTGACTGTACCGCTTACGTCGAGCGCTAGACGTGTACGGTACGGAAGGCCTGAAGATGTGAGAGCAGGTAGAGCAGAGTGAGCGGGGTTACAGGAAGTAAAAGAGAAGAGAGGGGGGAGTAGGGAAGCTTGACGGCATAAGGGAAGGGTGGTAGAGGACAATGTGGTCATCCCGGGATGCCCCTCTCCGGGGAGCAATCCCTCCCTGCGCCCCTCCACAGTGGCTCCCCAAGGGCTCCCAAGGTCCTCCGAGGCCCTCGAGTGACCTAAGCAGTCTCCCCTCCAGCTGTGAGGGTGGCATCGGTCGTTGGTTGTGTCCTGGCCGTGCGGTTCTCAGCGATAAACATGAGCCATGGAGTCCAGATCTGTAGGTAGCGTTCCGTGGTGTTCCGGAGAGAGGCCGTGAGTTGTTCCATGCCATGAATCTCCTCCACTTTGTCCATCCAGTGGACAAGAGTGGGCACCTGAGGGGACCGCCACCTGACCGGGATAAGGAGATTGGCCGCATTTAAGAGGTGTCTGGTCAGGGATTTTTTATAGCGTGATAAGGGTAGGGGAGTGTGGTGAAGGAGCATCTGCAGCGGTTGAAAGGGGAGCTCTATATCCATAATGTCCTTAATCTTTGCATGGACTTGCCGCCAGTACGTGGCTATCTTTTCGCATGACCACCAAATATGCAAGTCAGTACCCGTCCCCGTGCCGCACCTCCAGCAGATCTCAGAGACCTCGGGCATCATCCGGTGAAGCCGCGCCGGGGTCCTATACCAGCCAGTCAGTAGTTTATAGTTTAGCTCTTGGTGTTTGGAACTCATGGAGCTTTGGTGGGACAGGATGTGGATTTTCGTCCACTGGGGGGCTGAAAGTGTGATGCCCGCGGCCTCCTCCCAGTGTGTCATGCGTTTCATGGGTTCCCTGAATGATGCGGAGATGATCATTTTGTAGAGGGTAGAGACACCGCGGGCCATATGAGCTTGTTGCGCACACACAGGTCCTCGAGTTCTGTGGTCGGTCTATGGAACAGGCGTCGTCCAACGTGTGACTGGTAGTAGGTCTTAACTTGGAAGTACCGGAACCTGTCAAGGCCCGATGGCACTGCCTCTCGTATCAGGTCCGGGATTTGCTTTAATGCGTCCCCTGTACACCATTGGTGCATGAACGTCCATTCCGCTTCTCCAAACGCCTCGATGTCCCGGGGAGTGAGGCTCCCCGCGAGTTCCGGGTTGTGTGTAATCGGGGTGAGCGGTCCCGGTGTGGTGGACAGCTGGAGCTTCGTCCGTATGGAGTACCAGGTCCGCAGTGTCGCCCCTATCAGAGGGTGGTTCCGGGTCCGCGAGTTCGTCAGCGGGCCTCCAAGCCAGGCAACCGCCAGGAGGGTGCCCCCCAGTTGTGCCCGTTCCAGGTTGATCCACGCCTTGTCGGTCCTGGGCACGTGCCAATCCACTACTCTGAGCAGGTGTGTCGCCCTGTGGTAGTCTCTTATAGAAGGGAGGCCAGTTCCACCTCGATCTTTCGGTTGGTGAAGGTGGATTTTCTTCAATCTGGGGGTCTTAGAGCACCATATAAACTGTGTGATGGCTGCCTTGACGGATCTGAAGAAGGAGATAGGCGGGTTAATGGGGATGGTTTGGAATAGATAAAGGAAGCGGGGCAAGAGGTTCATCTTTATAGCATTTATTCTTCCGAACCAGGACACACAGAGGCCCGCCCAGCGTGTCAGGTCTGTTTTCAAATTCCTTAAGATATCTCGCCGGGAAGCCGTCCGGGCCCGGGGCCTTGTTCAATTTGGCGCCCTTCAGCGCTAATTGGAGTTCTTCCAGAGTTAGAGGGGCATCCAGTTCCTCCGCCTGCTCGCGGCTTAAGGTGTTCATTACGTGACGTTGGAGGTATGCCTCTATCTCTGTGTCCCTGCGGCGGTCGGCCTCTGCGGAGTGGTCTGTGGGTAAATTATAAAGCTCTTCGTAGAATCCGCGAAATGCGCCAATTATTCTATCTGGTAGCTGTGAGGTCGACTGGTCTCTAGTCTTGATCTTCGTGATGTGGCACAGTCGGCGCCTCTTTTGAAGCGTCCGGGCTAGAAGACGGCCACACTTGTTGGAATACTCGTAGAAGAAGCGTTGGTATTTACGGATGGTGTACTGTAGCTTCCCGTGCAGAATATCCCTTAGGGACTTCCTGGCGCTCAGGAGTGCTCTATAGTTATCGGCCGTCTGGGTGGTCTTGTGGTCATTTTCCAATTGTGTGATTTGTGCGGTTAGATCCTTTATACGCTGTTTCTGCGTCCTGCTCCGGTGTGAGCATATTTTAATGAGCAGTCCCCGAATGACGCACTTATGCGTTTCCCAGATCGAGAGTGCCGGGATGTCCGGGGATTCGTTTTCTTTGAAGAAGTTGGTGAGAGCCGTACGGATGTCCGCGGCAATAGGCATGTCGGTAAGGATGGATTCGTTCATGCGCCACTGGCGCTCAGTCGGGCGGAACAGTGGGGATCGAATTCGTACAGATACCGGTGAGTGGTCAGACCATCCCATGGGGTGTATGTCTGCCGAAAGGAGCATGGGTAATAGCTCCTGGGCCAGGAACACGTAATCCAGTCTGCTATATCATTTGTGGACTGTAGAGTAATAAGTAAAATCTGTGTCGCAGGGTTGAAGCGCCCTCCAGGCATCCACAAGACCAGCGTCCCGCAGCCCATTTCTGATGGACCTCAAGCCATGTGGTGAGAACGAGCTCACTCCTCTGGACGTGTCCGTTCCCGGTTCCAGGGCGACATTCAAGTCCCCGGCCATTATTAGAAAGCCCTCGCAGAACCTCTCCAGCTTGGTCAGCGTCTGTCTGAGGAATTTGCGTTGGTGTATGTTTGGGGCATATACACAGGCAAAGGTGTATGTGCATTCAGCTATAGAGCCTTTGATGAAGAGGGAGTGTCCCATCGGGTCCGACTCAGTCCCCATACAAATGAACGGAACTGTGCGGGCCAGTAAGATTGCCACTCCTGCCTTTTTTGTCGTAGAATGATTTGCAAAGTAACCCAGTGGGAATCGTGAGTTGCGCAGCGATGGGCCCTTGTCCCCCAGGAAGTGTGTCTCCTGGAGGAACGCTATAGATACCTTCTCGCTCCACAGGGTGCGCAAGAGATGCGATCTCCGCTCCGGCACGTTGAGGCCCCTGGTGTTATTTGACCAGATGTGGAGAGGCGCAGGAGTGAATCCCGATCCCATTGTTCCAGGCAAAGGAGGAGTGAGGAAGGGGGGGAAGAAGCTAACAGGTGAGAGAGTAGGAGAGGATTTAGTTAGGACCCCTCAGGGGTCACAGAAACTCGACACCGGGGGAGGATGAGTCGCGCGGGCCACTCCTAGGGGGTGGACCACCGTCTCCCACCAAGTTTAGATGTGGTGTCTGTCGCGGGGCACTAGACCAAGCGAGCACCGGCACAGCGCCCGGTCTGGGTGGTTAGATCACAATGTAACCCACGTGCCCAGTGTGGGTGTTCTCTAACTATGTAGGATGGGCTTGTCAGTTCATTGCAGTCAATACCCTCCAAGGGTGTCGGTTAGGTGTGTGTGAGTCAAAACCACTAGTCGTCTGCCCCCCTGGCCGAGGGTATGTAGGCAGGTCAGTATGCGTGGTGGCTGTCAATCCCAGTCAGTCATTTCGGGAACCGTCTGCGGTCATTCAAGTCCGGGGGGGGTGGCCCGCCCTCCCCGGGGTCGCTGGTGTCACTGAAGTGTAGAAGGGCACCCCTGTCTGCCTGGGGACCGTGTGTGATCACGGCCTCCTTGACTTTTAGTCCTCCCCAGTGGCAAGCGAGTCTGTCTTGGCCGGCCATAGGTGGTCCATGGTCACTTCTCCGTGGGTCAGCGGCAGTATGGCTAAGTGCGGGCAGGGTCGGGGCAACAACCATGGGTGTGGGACTCTGGCAGGGTGGATGGCGTAAAACCGTTTGGAGCGTTTAGGCCGATGTTGTCGTCTTCTACCTTGGTTTGGGCCTGGGTCCCCCGTGTCTCAGTCACCCAGAATGCAGGAGTGTGTGTCCGCCAGACTAAGGTCACCTATCATGGGAGCTGTCCTCGGGCTCGTGCGGTCCCAGTCTCTCAAACCCGTGCTCCTAACCCCCTACCTCCCCCATCTAGAGGCGTCCCCACCTAGCCCCTGACAGATCAAATCCTCGGCTCCAATCTATCGTGCAGCTAATTAGGCAAGTCGTGAGTGCAGTGACCAAAATACATCCTACATTAAAATACAAGGCTTGAGATCTGGTGGTGAGGCCCCGAACAATAGGTCCCTGTACGGCCGCCTTCTGAGGGAAGGAGTCCCATATGTCCCGCCCCGACCCCTCTCCCTTCCCAAAGATCCAGCATAGACCATCGGTGTGAAGTGACCCGGAGTAAAGCCCCAGCTAATATGTAGGCAGTAGTCCCTGGCCGTGTAATTCACCCAGGTATCACAGAATCCCTTGGTGGCTGTTATTCTCATGTGCACGTGGCGTTGGCAGGGCCATGTCGTACCGTGTGCAGCAGCTACGGAGAGTCACAGACCTGTGAGCCAGTCTGAGTATCCCCCTGCCCACAGACCCCCCCCCCCAAATATCAGTCCGGAGATGTGGTCCCCAGCAAAGACAGACAGCCCGCCAAACCCCCAGCTGACCTGTGCGATAGCGTCCTATTCTTCTGGGCCGTTCGGCCCACCTCTCCTGCGCGGCTCCGGTGGTCTACCTGTAGCCGCATCGGCGTCCTGCAGTGGCAGCAGTGGATCTCTTCGTGAAGCAGTCGCTTCGTCCAGAATCCAGTTGCGTATTCTCGATGGTGCTAAACCCAGGGCCCTCTGGAACCTTGGGACGTCTTCAGGCCAGCGGGCCGTGATCCAGGCATTCCCATGTTTCGCCTGCAGACTGAACGGGAAACCCCAGCGATACGGAATCCCCTTGTCTCTCAGGGCACTGGTGACCCGCCTCAGGGCCCGCCTCGCATCTAGGGTGAGGCTAGAGAGATCTTGGTACAGTGAGACTGCCGTTCCTCGAAACTGTATGGATGGAAGGCCCCTGGCCGCCGCCATAATTCTGTCTCTTAGGCCTGGAGCGGTGATGCAGCAGACTACGTCTCTGGGGCTGCCATCCTGTCTCGCAGGCCCCATGGCTCTGTGAGCGCGGTCTATGGTGAGCGTAGCGGGCGGTACAGCTCCGAGGAGCTGTGTAAACAGCGCTGACAGGGTGTCTGGGAGCGGCTCGTCTTCCCTTTCAGGCAGGCCGCGAACGCGGATATTATTGCGTCTGCTTCTGTTCTCCAAATCCTCCACTTGTCTCCGGAGGGTAAGGAGCATGTTACCCTGCCTGGTAACTGCCACTTCTGTTGCTCTGTGCTGGTCGTCACAGCCCCTCGCCACCGACTCCATTTCATCTACTCTCTGCTCCAGGGTGGACAGATCTTCGCGCAGGCCTGCCAGCTCTTCCCTCAGTGCAGCTCTGAGTTCCTGTACTATGGGGCCTGTATCAGCTTTGGTGAGCATCCTCCTGGAGATCTGAGAGAGCTCCATTCTAATTTGAGACAGGTCTCCTGCTTGGTTGGATTCCGACTGGGAGTCTCCCGTCATCTCTGAGTCCGGGGACCCGGGCGCCATCTTGTCCACATGGCGGGTGCCGCGAAGGTCGGACGGGGTGGCGATAAAATCGTCCATGGGGCCGGTATTACGGTGCGGGGAGCTTGCCGCCGCAGCTCCCGAGGATAGGGGCTTCTTTGTTCTCACCATCGCCTCTCTTTGCCGTGCTTTGATAGCTAATTTAGCCGGCCAGGGGTGCAGAGCTCTCGCACCATGCTCGTCCAGGCCACGCCCCTCACCATCAAAGTATTTTAAAGGTCTGGGGACACATTCTTAAAGGGGCATTGTTCCCAAAAGTCTCAATATGCTCCAATAACAGTTTTAAAGGGCCATACACCACAGGTCCATAATCTTGGGGCAAAAGGTAAGCAATCAGGTCCCTCCAGAACCCAGTGGCGAGAGTAACTTTCGCCACACTGTGAGCAGTCTTTTCTGCTCTCTCTTGGAAAGGGGCTGAGGAAGGGGACAATGACACACAAAGGGGCTGGTGGAAAGTAAGAGGCACACAAAGGGTGTTGTAAGACACAAAATGGAAAATGCAGATATAATTCACTAAAGGGGATGTAAGGCACAAAAGGGGTCTGAGAAACACACAGGTGAAAATGACATTTTTAGTGGGGGTGCAAAATTCATCTACACCTGAGCAGTCAAAAATCCTTGCACCGGCCCTGATGGGTGTGTGTGTGTGTGTGTGTGCTCAGGTATGTATTCCAGGAGAAAGAAAACTCAGTTGTTTCTTTTTAAAAGGTGCTTTTGGTGTGGTGATGAATCTCGGTGACAGAGTTGGAGTTCTCTGCCTACACGACCCCTAAAAAGCATTATTTTAACTTATTCGGTTTTGTGCAGAGATTTTTATAAGTTAATAGATGCTATTTCTGTTGTGTATTAAGATGTGTTGAAATGATAATAGGTATGTTATTTTGTGTATGCTCAACTGTTAACCGTATGAAGAATTTGTATTTTAAACACAGTACTGTTATTTCCAGAACTCCCTTTTGGGTTTAATTACTAAACTGGGAATTGGCAAGAATACTCATAAACATTGCAACGTTTAGGCCAAATATCTGAGCTGGGAAAACAATGCTGACTTTTTTTTCCCCCAAGATGTTAGCCTACAATTTAAAATTGTCCTGTGGATTCTTGCTGATTTCTCAAATAAATAAAAATCCAATGTCATTTTTGGAGGTGGGGAAAGGGGTTGGGTGGAATGTTTATTGATTTATATCTTCTATGTTTTCTAAACTATTATATAATCTTCTTTTCATTCTTTTAGCATTCTGAGACTAGAATTCCTCTTGAAACAGGTTGCAGTATTAATCTCCAGTGGAATCATGCATGCCCACTAATGAATATACATTCAATTTTTGTTTTGTATGTGTTTTACAAAGAAAAAAGACAAACTTAAAAATCTTTTTTTCTCCTAGGAGCAAAAATATTTAAGGTAACGATTAAAGCTCTATCTTCAAATGAGTATATAAGAATCCATGTCCCCGATCCCTTGGACAGGAATGATGGATCCTACGTCATGAGATATCGCATGTACGGCAGTGTTACCGAGGGACTAATTATTGAAGTACTCCATGGGGATAAACACGTGGCTCAGTCTCCTTATATACTGAAAGGTAAGGGACCAGTTACATAACAAATAACATTAATATCGGCTTTGGTAGGTCCCAGAAATACTTGGGGTTACTGCTTACAGATTCTGTCTTTTAACACATCTATCTGCCATCCATACAGAGAATCTGTTCATTATTAAAGGATCCGTTGGTTTTTTTTTAGGAACTGGATCTGAGAGGGTGACCGAAGTGTAGAGCCATCCTTAAAAATAGTAGCCAAGAGTAACCAATATTTAAGCATTCCCCTGTGTTTTACCTGTGCAGTCGTATCTATGTAAAGGGAACATTTAAAACAATTTAGCTTTTTACGGGAGATTTTTTAAAGTACTCTCCTAACAAGGGCACAACCACATTCTCCCTCCGATGCCCAACATCCGTATTTCTACATGCGCACAGCAGACTGTGTGTAGTGTCATTGAGTCTTCTGAGGCTGGTCACTTAACTAGAATTCTGGCTACAGACATAACTGTCACAACACTACGGCACACCTACAGTTTTTGATCACCTTATAGTTTCTTGCTTTGGATTCTCGGTGACTAACAGAATAACAAAACATACAAGGGAAACGTAGAGTGAAATAAAGAATGACAGGCCAGAGGTCATTGCACAAGACAGACATATTAACTCTTAGCTTACTGCTACTACTTATTATAATGACATCCTATTAGACGTCATAAATTTTCTTTTTTGGACATACAGATTATAAATCCATGTAAACAAAAGGTATTAATGTTTGTTTTTGTTCCTTTATTTATTTTATAATTCAAGTGGGTTTTGTTTATACAAACTAATGGAAAGCACACAAGCAGTTATTCTAGTGATGTATCTTCACTTTGTCTGGAAACAATGTTCGGTAGGTGTGGTGATCCATTAACATTTTCTGTCTCTTAATGTCTGTACAGATACTCGAGCACTCTGCCCTGGCTTGTCAAGGGATCAGTAAAGGATATACTTGTTTTAATGCGAGGGCCTCATAAATCCCTTCCTGTGCCCTTCCCTTATTCAGTAATAAGCAGCACTTGCTGGTGCCAAGTTACATGACACCGTATACTTTACAGGCAACGCCAGCTATTGTAAATGTCCTAACCACAGATCAAGAGTGGCTGCAGGAAAACCAATGGGATTTATTTGCTAAACTGTGAAGCATTTAAATGGTTATTCAATAAACTAGGTATTCTTAGGGAATGACCACGTAGTTCCTAATGAACTAGTATACTCCATGTGTGTCCCTAAATCATCCTCTTCCCAAAACTCTTCAATTCATGTCCTTGTATCACTTTTATGTCAATAACACTTTATTTCCATGAATAGTTCAAATGTGACTGAGCCACTTTAAATGACAACTGTATTTTTGATAAAGCACTCCCTTTCTCCAATCCTATCTAAAGAAATGAGGATTATCTGCTTTCAGAAATAATTTAAATTGATTTGTAAAATCAAACATTAACTGTGCACTCTAAACATCATAACTACTACAACTCAGTGCGTTGGTTATGGTGGAAACAGAATATGGACACATCCTTGGCTGCCCGCCCCTCTTTATTTTATCAGACTATTTGGGAGTAGTTTAACAAATAAAAAAACGGCTTGTCTCAGCACCAAAAACATGCCCTCTCTGCATCTGCAATGATAATATAGAAATTACAATTCTGTCCAACCTGGATGACCGTGATTGGCTGAGATTACTGTGAACTGAGAAAGGCTGAAATCGCAGTCTATCACTGCTTTCCTTTCTTGGAAAACATTGATATTGTGTAAGTGATTGATTATTCCATATTATCAAGTCGTCTGGACCAAAGTGCTAGGGGGAGTCTGTTGTTGTTGTTTTTTTTTTTTTTAAATTTTATAAAAAAAAATAAAAAAATGAAAAACACGACCTGGATTTGTTGCCCATACCCTCTTTGCACCATAAATACTACACTAAATTGTAGTTAACAGAAAGATAATGGGTCAGCGCTAAAAAATCAATAGAACCTAAGGACAAATGGGGAAGCAGCAACCTATAGTATTGAGGTTCCCTCTCGTACCCTCAAATAAGATAGACAGACGAAAAGATAATATATAGGTTGCGCTATATGCTCATAAACAAAAGGTAAATGGAATGAGACAAATATATATGAATAAACAGGAAAAATAATCCCAGTGATAAAAAGTCTTTTATATAAAACCTGTAAAAATGCTTGAATATAGAATGAGTCCAATGGGTAGCTGGGTCTTCTGATGTTGAAGATATCTCAGTTCAATAGTGGGTGTATGAACATGTAAAAGAGACAGAGAGACTCCAATGGTAAAGATTGCAGATCGACAAATTGGTAGATAAAAATTCTAACAGATGATCCACTCACCTATTTATGAGCATAAACTAGCTCAAGTGGTTATAGCGTTCAGTGGCGTTGATCCTCCACTGGTAGGATATAGGTGGTGAAGATATGATGAGCTCCTCAGTATATAGAGAGATAAGAAAACGATATAGTGCTCACTGAAATAATAGAAAAGTCAATGGATAAAAGCGGTAAAATACTCACATATATATACTGCTCAATATAATGGCGTAGGTGGTATTATCCCCACCTAGGATTCTTGGGCAAATGTGTGCTCCGATGTAGCAGGTACCAGGTATAAAATACTAAAAAGTTATATAAAGGCTAGTAAAAAGGCCAATATTCCTTTATTAATAATAACAGAATAGATATATATAACAAATATAAAAACAGCCAAAACACGTTTCGTCTCACAGGGCTTTCTCAACTGGCAATAGAAAATAACAACCTGGTACATAGATGCTTTTATAAACTATCTGAGCATATGCAAATTCAAAATTTGGTGCCAAAATGACGTCATCATTAAAATACAGAAATACAAAGAAAAGTACAAATCTTAAAGATATTCATAATATAATGATCTAGGAATAATCCAAACTGTTTGATTCATTATTAAAAATGAACATTATATAAATTAAACGATAAGATGAATAAAACTAATGAAATCATGTGATCGCGCGGTCACATGGTGTGGCTAAAGTACTATAGGAAATGTATGCTGAACGTCAAATTGCTAGATGTCAGCATACTAGGCGGAGAGTAATAAGAGCCACGTGGTCGCGAGCTCCCGCGACCACGTTGTATAGCTGGGAAGGCTATGGGAAATGTATGCTGAAATCAGCATACTAAAATGTCATAATGGTTGGCGGAAAATAGTGACAACCACGTGATCGCGAGCATCCGCGACCACGTGGTATAACATAAAGAACCATGGGAAATGTATGCTGGGCCAGAGATCGGCGCAAACATACACGCCCCTCTCATGGCACCAGCATACATAATCCAAATAGCTCAAAATAAGGACAAAATACCTGGCAAATAGTAAACCACATGTAATGGCAAAAAGAAAAGGTTAAAAAAATTATATGACAATTTGTACAAAACATATTATAGAAACACATATTAAGAAAGAATAAGCCTCTAAGGGGTGGGCACTTTCATATATGATGATCCAAAAGTTAGGGGCATTCTACTGAATATAATACCATAGTATTTACAGTAAAAGTTAGAGGCATTCCAATGAAAATAATACCACAGTAATTACAATGATAAAAACCATATAAAAACACAGTAAAAAATTAAAAAAAAATATTGTTTTAATTAAAAAGTATTTTATATATATAAACATTATAATTATATTATAAAAAAATGAAAAGATCAAAATCTGCATTTAAGCCATTAGGACAGAGGGTTTTTAGTTGGAAAACCCAATTCATCTCTCTTTTTCCTAAGATTTTTTTTCATATCATTAAATTGTAGTTGTTGAAGTGCTTAGATTAACAATTCAAGCTGAATAATTACACCAATTACTTTCTAGAAACAGGACTATAGAAGTAGCTGGATTGGTTGGAATGCAGATCTAGTTTGTAGTCCATTCAAGTTCTGCTAAATAACCCCATATCGTTAGACACTAGGTCAGGCTGGCCAATAGTGGTGCATTGGGACATATGCAGGCTTTTCCAGAACTGTCCGATTACAGCAAGAAACATTAAAATGGGCTGTATAAAGTAGACAAAAAACACAGGAAGAATCTGTTCGCTGAAAGCAAATCCATGTGTACCTATACGTGGAAAAAAAAATATATATAAAGGTAATTAACTCAAATTATACAAATTGGGATAAGCCAATGTATTTCCAATCCTCACATTTTCTAACTGCCCATTTCAAACACCAAATTGACTGTAAGGTTTAGTTTTGCATTGTTGTATTGTAATTCAGAGAATGTCCGCAATGATGTTGAAAGGGGATTAACAAAAAGAAATGTACAACTATACTTTCTCATTTTATTTAGGACCAGTTTATCATGAATACTGTGATTGTCCTGAAGAAGATTCACATATATGGCAGCAGACTCTTTCATGTCCATCCAAAGAAACACAAATTTCAAAAGATTTTGCCCCATTCCCTATCATAGACCTGGAAAGGATGCTGGAAGAGGTCCCCCGGAGGTTTGCTGAGAAGAGAGGTGCCATTGTTCATTATACTATTCTCAATAATAATGTCTATCGGCGTTCCTTGGGCAAGTACACAGATTTCAAAATGTTCTCGGATGAGATACTGCTATCGTTGTCAAGAAAGGTATTTGCCAAGATTTGATATCAAAAACATAACTTCTAACTATAATCATTTTTTAGTTGGTTGAACAAAGGAAAGCATGCTTTAGGTATTTAGGTATTTGTGGTTTATATTTTGAAGGCCTGTTTATTACTACTTTACCTAAGGCTGTTGTCTCTACACATGAGTCACATGAATATGGTTGTTTCAAAAGTATTCTGAATATAATCGTAATCCAACTTGTTGTATTGTTTGTGTTTTTTTTTAAATGTATTTAATTATCTGAACTTTTTATTTTTTTATAAGGTCCGCTTGCCAGATTTTGAATTTTATATAAATGTTGGAGACTGGCCTGTGGAGCATCGAAAAGCCAATGATACTCCTGGACCTCTGCCAATGATTTCGTGGTGTGGCTCTGTTGATTCACTTGACATCATTCTTCCAACCTACGACGTCACTCACTCAAGCCTTGAAACCTTACGTGGTGTGACTAATGACCTTCTTTCTATTCAAGGACACACTGGTACATTAATTATTTGACATTTCATATCAAGCCTACGAAGTTATACACATTTGTTTGCTCATACCGTTATCAGCATTCTGGTCATTGCCTAAGACGTGAAATAGCTTTCACAAACCTACAGCTACAAGCTGCTCTATGTAGTTTCCCTCTTATGCATAATGATTGATCCATAAATTCAACTTCTCTCATTAGGCCTATCACACTTTCTGCTCCAGGACCACAAATCCCTAAATCAAGCATCGCATGCCACAATTCCTAGGGATTTCTGCTCGCCCAGGCTGAATTTTCACTCCTCAAAGGCTAGTGGAGAGTGGAAATTTGATCCTAGCCTCAAAGTGACCTTGTACTCCAGATACTCTGAGGACTGGTCAATTTTAATGGGATTTGGTAGGACATTACTTCTGTTACCAGGTTGCTGTTTCCAAATGTAGTCTCAGTGGTACTAACCTGAAAATAAACTGCTGAAGTCTGCTTTTCATAACTTGGTTTTAGAATGGATTTTACTTCATTCCATAAATTCGTGGGTTTCTTTTTGGTTTTTTTATGGTTGCATCTGAAATAGAATTTCGCACTATTAAAGGACCACTCTAGGCACCCAGACCACTTCAGCTTAATGAAGTGGTCTGGGTGCCAGGTCCCTCTAGGATTAACCCTTTTTTTTATTTTTTTTATTTTTTTATAAACCTAGCAGTTTCAGAGAATCCAGCCTCTAAAGCCTCTAGTGGCTGTCTCATTGACAGCCGCTAGAGGCGTTTGCGTGCTTCTCACTGTGAAAATCACAGTGAGAAGATGCCAGCGTCCATAGGAAAGCATTGAGCATTAACAATTCAAGCTGAATTGAGAATGCTTTCCTATGAGACTGGCTGAATGCGCGCGCAGCTCCTGCCGCGCATGCCCATTCAGCCGAAGAGGAGGAGAGGAGGCGGGAGGAGTAGGAAAGCTCCCCGCACAGCGCTGGAGAAAATGTAAGATTTAACCCTTTGCTCGCCATCCAGCCCGGCGGAAGGGTGTCCCTGAGGGTGGGGGCATCCTCAGGGCACTATAGTGCCAGGAAAACGAGTATGTTTTCCTGGCACTATAGTGGTCCTTTAACTATGTGCTATATTAAGATTACAAAATTAAAGTGTGTCTGAGAACAGAACATGTAATTGTGAAGTGGAATATGATGGCACTATAAAAATGAAAATAAATATTATTCATTAAAGTTTACTGATTTAATTTCAGGTCCGTCATGGAGTAACAAAACAGAGCAAGCCTTCTTCAGAGGACGAGACAGCCGAGAGGAACGTCTTCAGCTTGTCGAAATGTCCCAGAAGTACCCAGACTTACTGGATGCTGGCATTACTGGCTATTTCTTTTTTCGGGAGCAAGAAAAATTACTTGGAAAAGCGCAACTTATGGGGTTCTTTGATTTCTTTAAAGTAAGTTCGTTTTTTTTTTTTTGTTTTTTTTTTGGGTTTCACCTTTTATTGAATTGATAGTACAGAGTAGACTTTGTCAACATACAGATCAATTCATCTCAAACAAAACCCTTTTGACTCCTCTCGTACAGAGGTTTAAAAAACAATTTAGTTATGTAACGGATTACCTGGCACCCCGACTGGGTACCTCCGTTGAAGGATGCTCCTAGCACTTCCAAAGGACTCCAAGCACTGCAGCAGACACCATAACCACCGTAGACTCCTCCAGACAGCAGGGCAGGAACAAGCTCTTACAAGAGCTTAGTAGTGATTTAGAAAGGGAATATGCAGAGCATAGCAATCCCTTGTAGCAGATTCCCCCAATAAGAGACGGCACTCCAAATTGAGGGTGAAGTAGAACTGCCAGAGCTGTGGGTTTATTGTTCTTATATACACATTCTTACACATTAGTACCACCGACAGGGTTTTGTAAAACAACCAATAAACACATACAATACACTCAGACACTCCCACACAAAATCCTCCCCTCTGCCTGTGATACAATTACCTTACACAATGGGTTAATGTAATTATCACAGGCAGGAAAATACAGTTTTACACAATATTCATAACTTTAAAAGTATGCATCACATTCACATAAAACTTACATTTTCAGAATCCGCATACTCCAAATACGTCAAAATTTGGTCTAGTGGGTCAAAAGTTAGATCAAAGTCCTTTGAGACCAAATGAAACATGGCTTTTCTGCCAAAAAACTGTTCCACAGAGTCTTCTATCCTGGAGATAATTGGGAAGTAATCCAATTATCTCCAAGGACAGAGGCAAAACCCCATTAGCCACATGGTAGCAAAAGACAATAAAATACATAAAAATATATAGCTGTGCAGCTATTGCATTAAACAGGTACATTAAACATATCCCCAGATAGCTTAGATCTGAGCGCACATTATTACTGAATGGCGCTCAGATCACATACATACAGTTCAATTGCCATGGAGCCAAAGTCTTTCACATAGTCTTTCGTTATACGAATGGGCTCCATGGCATAGCTAACTGGGGTATCACTGTTCAAATGACCCAGCTTTCGGGTCTTTGCGAGGAAAATCAAGCATTTCAACATGGGGCCATAGTCACAGGGCAGGAGGCTGGCAATCAGTCTTCTCCAATGCCCAGTGGCGAGGCTGGTTCCGCCACAAGTTGTTTGTAGTAAACAATCATTGGAAGTTATTTTGGGGATCTACTATATTCAAATGCAAAGGTTTGTGCCATTTAAGGATCAACATACGACCCAAAGAAAATCTGTGAGGGACAGCCTTTCATAATCATTATACGCCCCTGATGGAGGAAATGTAAAACCATAGATTTTAGTAGGCAAAATGAACCCCTATCCCAGAGGGAGGCTCTTAGTAAAATGGAATATGAAATCAAATAGATCTATCTTTAAAAGTCTAGTATTTATAGGCAAAAGCAATCTTACAAGACCATGTTCAGGTGGTATACCACCCCTATCAAATTGTATCATATGCATAGAATTTCTACTAACTTGCTGGAGACTGTGTGGGCAGTGGTTTACCGGTTACATGTGATGGGAATGCCCACAGGCACAGATCTTTTGGGTGAAGGTGGGTGAACAAACATTTTTAAAAAGCAATTGGCCCTAGACCCCTGGATCTCTTTACTGTCCAGACCACTAGATGGGTGGACCAGCACGAAACAAAAACTGCCCCATAATATAACTGTAGCAGCCCAATGAGCTTTTGGCTCAGATGTAGCTAAACCCTGCCATTCCTCCTATCGATACGGCACTCCTGAAACCTAAGGACAACTACTTGGTGGACATGCTAACCGCTCAGGTCAGGGGTAACGTGAAAACCTTTACAAAGATCTGGAACCATGGGAGACTTACATTGTCAACCCCTAAGACTGCATTGGCTGTTTCGTGACATGGGGACTGGTAGTGTGGCACAGGTGAGCCCTGGGAGTCGCTCCATCTGTGTAATAAGACCACTTTCTCTTCTTCTCTTTCTTTGCTTTCTTTTTCTATTTCTCTCTTCCCTATATTATAATCCTCAATGTGGTTTTCCACCAAGACAGAGCTAGAATCCATGAGGGGTGGGACATGATACCTCTGTAAGTACTTTTGCATTAAGACAATGGGTAACAATGCCCAGAGATTCTCGTGCTTTAAAAGATTACTTCTAGTGGGCTACCATTGTGATAAAAATATGAATATGGTCTTCTCACTAAACAAGTCTCATACTATTGCTTATTGTTGGTGTGTTCCAATGGCATCCTTCCCTATGTTTGATGCTTTATACTATATCCAATGATTTTGTATTTCATTGTCCTGACCACTGTCGATGTTTTTCTTTTTTTTTTGTTCTCGCTGCTCAAGTATAAATAAAGAATGGGAACATAGAAACATAGAATGTGACGGCAGATAAGAACCATTCGGCCCATCTAGTCTGCCCAATTTTCGAAATACTTTCATTAGTCCCTGGCCTTATCTTATAGTTAGGATAGCCTTATGCCTATCCCACGCATGCTTAAACTCCTTTACTGTGTCAACCTCTACCACTTCAGCTGGAAGGCTATTCAATGCATCCACTACCCTCTCAGTAAAGTAATACTTCCTGATATTATTTTTAAACCTTTGTCCCTCTAATTTAAGACTATGTCCTCTTGTTGTGGTAGTTTTTCTTCTTTTAAATATAGTCTCCTCCTTTACTGTGTTGATTCCCTTTATGTATTTAAATGTTTCTATCATATCCCCCCTGTCTCGTCTTTCCTCCCAGCTATACATGGTGGGGGGGGAGGGAAGGAACAAATTAAAACGGGAGATATTTCTTTAAGTGCATGTTCTCCATTTGTTCCTGTAGTACAAATACCAAGTGAACGTTGACGGAACGGTGGCAGCTTATAGATTTCCATATCTCATGCTGGGTGACAGCCTTGTATTGAAGCAAGCGTCTCCATACTATGAACACTTTTACTCTGCGCTAAAACCAGGCAAACACTACATTCCTATCAAACGAAATCTCAGTGATTTGATTGAAAAAATACAGTGGGCTAAGGTAAGCTCGTTACTCTACTTTGATTCAATTTAACTGACTTTAAAAATCTGTATAATCTGTGTCTAACCTGCCCATAAGTATAGATAGGTGCATCATATTAGACGTGTTTTCCATTTTTTTAATTTTTTATTTTTTTTTACCAATTTGCATGTATCTTTCTCCTTGTCACGGCTGCTAGTGTGGTCCAACACGCAGAAACTATGTAAACATATACATAAAAAAGGAAAGGGGGGAAAAAAAAAGGACCGAGCGTAAACCGGACCTTAGAATGGCCAGACTAATACGCTAGAGATAGAGAATGGTCAAAGGGAAAGCCGAGGTCAAGGAAGCCAGAAATACTCAGATACCGTTTAAACAAGCCAAGTCAGGGGAACCAGAATAACCAGGGAAAAGCCAAGATCAGGATACCAGGAAGTAATATTCACAAAGATAAACGCACTGCTGTTCAGTTTGGACAGAATCACACTGGATAATGCAGACGTATAGATTCAGTATTGTCAATGCAACTGAGATGGTGGTGGGGCTTCGAGTGCCAAAGAGATCCTTGGGGTTTGTCAAATCACTCCAAAATGGAGCCCATAGCATTAAACCACCATAAGCAGTGCATTGAATATAGAGTATTATTTTAACATTTGGGATCCACTCTCCACAACACATATTTTGTACTAAGAACTGTTTCTGTTCCTGCAATAACAAATAATAATTTATCCACCAAAGTGCTATTAACATTGTATAATACACATTCCCTACAGTATTTCTGGACCTTGCACTCCAGAATAAAAACCCTGATCAGTGTGCGAGGACACATACATACCATTATAAATAAATAGATCCATAATGGTAAATTAGTCAGGACATATCCTTTTAGCTGCTACTACGGTCATTCTCAGATACTGGAGGTCACCAAAAATCCCTACTATTAAAGAAGTTTTTAATTATATACTAGAAAATAAGGGGTACAGACTGGCAATCAGGCAACCTTCTTTGCCGTTAGATAACCTCAGACACTACTGGGGTGAATGGGGAACAAAGATTCAAAGGGAATATAGGTTTTTGATTGCTTGTACAAAGAAATGTATTTGGAAAATAGTTTGACAACAAAAAGTTTTATTCTATTATCCGATTATCTGAACTAGGTATTGTTGTGTCATGTTATGTATACTAGAATTGGTTATAGTCATTAGAATTTAAGTTGAAAAAAGCTATTTTGGATGTATGCACAACCCTTCCCATCTTTTCCTTCTCTTTCTTCTTTCTCCCCCCCTCCCACCCTCCACCCGCCCCATTTCTTTATTTTTTTTGTTTTACTTATTAACATTGTAATTTAATTGCATAGTTCATTTATACCAATATGTTATCATGATCAAAATTGATTGAATAGTGCCTGTTCAATACTTTCATAACTGATTTACATATGAACTGGATACATTGATATTTACTCTTTTTATGTATAATATATGGTATTTTCTTTTTTTATTGTAAAAGTTATTGCTATTGTAAAAATATATATTTAATAACATTTATTTGAAAGGGGGGAAAAAAACACCTGGCAATCTGGAAAAACAGTGTGATTTAATTTTTTTTTTTTTTTTTTTTAAATGTAGTTTTTATTATTTTCAATGTTCAAGATATAATGTGGCATCAAGCAAGGTTGGGAGAGGCAGGTCCCTATTATCATGTTTTTATATATTTGATGATAATAATAAACTATTTAACCAGGAAAGGTACATTCAGATTACTCTGGTTTTCAAGTACGTCCTGGGGATGTTACCTTAGCCCAAAATCCAGGGGTTGTTACTATATTTAAGGTATTAGATGAAAACTTGGGAGACTTGCAGGTCTCATATGAGTCGTATTCGAGCAGGAATTGGAGATGCGCAGGTCTCCATCTTATTATGTAACATGAGCAGGACGCGCAGGTGCCTTTGTACATGAAGTATGCAGGAAACATTGCAAAAAGTCTTATAGGTTAGAGGTTTGCGGTCTTTTGGCTTGGTTGGACTTAACATTTGCAAATCCCTTGTCAGGTCTCTACAAATCCTAGTTTATTGAATAACTTTATCAGTATTTGTGACGTTAACGCATTGTGACACATTAGATTGATTTTGGTTACATTTTTTTTCATGTCATGTAGTTCTTTTAGAAGCTCTTTTTAGAAACATATGATTTATTTTCTTCTCAGTATGACTCAATAGTTTGCACATGAAAAGTTCTAAGTTTCTAAACTTTTGTTTTTTCATTAATTTGATTTTCAGGAAAATGACGAAAAAGCTAGAAAGATTGCCAAAGAGGGCCAAGCTCTTGCCAGAGAACTGCTGCAGCCTCATCGTTTCTACTGCTATTATTATAACGTCTTCCAGGTTGGTTTAACAATGTAACGAATATAATCTAACCTTTTATTTAAAAAAAAAAAAGCACTTTTCTCTATATAGTGAGCCAACACGACCTTCCAAGGACCAGCATTACAGACAGGCCAGATTAACCCTAAAGCACTTTAGGAAATGAAAGTGCTTTAGGTGACTGGAACATTCCTTTAGATAGAATGTTCATCAAACTATTTGAATGTAACTCAAAAACTGAAAACCGGGATTTAAAATCAGTGTCTTGCGTTGAGTAACTTCACTTTGTCATGCAAATGTTCATCATCATCTATAGATGATGTTCTTCAAGGCATTACAATCTGGTTGGCAAAGAGATTACCTAGAGATTGTTGCAGATCACATACACTACTTCTTCTTCTTCTTCTGGTGTCTTCAAAATTTATTGAAGCAATGTATGAGATTTTGAGTGATTTCCATATAAACCAAACAATGTTCTGCTTATACTTTGAGTTGTTACAGTTCGTAATGCAAACGCCAACATTTAGACCTAAAAAGCAACACTTTAACTACAGCTGAATATAAGATTTTTTTTTTTTAATCTGCTACATTTTGCCATTACTTTTACAAATCCCTATAAATTGGAGTTTAGTGAATAAAACCTTTTACAAAGTCAAATGTAATTAATAATTAAATATTATTTTTTTCTACCTAAATAATCTAAAGCATTTTTTAAAATTATGCTTTATTTTATCATATATTGCTTCATTTATGTTCTGAATTCAAAGATCCAGCCCAACCTGTTCTAGTTTTTAACCTTTTTATTTTCCTAATGATTCACAGTATAACCACTCAGAATATTCACTGTTTTTCAGAATTATGCTAAGCGACAAACAAGCCGTCCTGCAATCCGAGAGAAAATGGAACATGTACCTCAACCTACTGACAGTTCCGCAGTGTGCCAATGCCATAGAAATAAGATCGTCCGAGAAGAACTGTAGCAATTCAGAGGAGTAACATGCCTACAAAGAATATAGGGAGAACGTTTTGGAACTCGGAATGTCCCAATGACTACCAGATTACACACAGTGGTACTATTGTGGCCAGTGGAAGTAACTGACATATTGCTATGGACACTCTGTCTTACTTCCACATCACAGCTATGTACTCTACAGAATAACACAACCCTCTGTCCCCTCTACCTCTACATTTTATTTTAGGTAGCACTACCATAAATATGTATATTTCTACAGTTGAATTGTGTATATTGTAGCTATACACAGATGTATTGCCTCCATTTCCGTAGTGGACACATGCATTTTATTGTTTGCAGGAGAACAGTACAATTTGGTAAAAGCTTGAGGCACCAAAATTATTAGAAATCTTCCAATATCACATCATAAAACCAAGTCACGATTTTTACATGCTGTACACGACGGCAGATGATTTATGTAGAAAATGAAAAAGTCTCCTGTATCTTTAAAACCACCATTTTGTCTCCCATTTTTCAAAAGGAATCATTGAGCAGTGCTTCTTAAAAATGAAGTGAATTCATTCCACTTAAGTCAGCCATTTATATGAGCGCTTACTGAGAAAACATGGATATGACACATATATCAAGATTTCAGCTTTAGTCAATGTTATTTATTTAATATAATCTATAGATCATTAGTAGCCACTGTCATACGCCAGTTGAGACCTTTCAATTCTGGTGATGCTTAGCCAGGCATGGACACTCCTTTTTGTCATGTAGTGATTGCTAAATTGATGTGGATCATAATAGTTTTGGTTCCACCACATTTTAAGAGCCACCTACCGATAACCCCAAATATTTAGGTTAACCTTATCTGCTTCTCTCCAGCTATCAGATCTCTGGGTACCAAAATACCCAACTGTCAATCACATGATGATGCGATTACGCACTGGAGAAGGCTCAGAGCCTCGGTATATGTTGTAAAAGATGGATATACAAAGACATGGTTAATTGTTTTACATTTCTGTTATGCTTTTAGCTTTCCAATGCATGACGTAGTACATCATAGTCTATTCACCATGGATATCCCTATTTACCATCCTAGAACATAAATTATGCAAAATGATAATTGCACTGACACTCTAACAACCAAGCGTTACCAAAGATTTCTTTACTTTGTTTGGTATAAATCACAATGTATCCAGTCTTGGTTACTTTGGTTTGGTAAGTATTCGGCTGCACCAAATGGAAATCCAGTCTTTATTATTATCTAACCGATATCATCTACTCTATTGGTTGCACACTCTGTTCGGTTCCCGTTGGTCAAAACAACAATCGACACACAAAGTATTTTGTGATAATGTGAATTCTACTAAAAGGTGTTGTCAAAAAATGCTGCTGCAATGTACAGATTTTTTTTACTTTTTTGTAATCAAGTTTGTAATAAAGAATGCTTGAACAGCTCAAAATGTGTGTGTGTGTGTGTGTGTGTGTGTGTATATATATATATTTTTTTTTTTGTCATATTATCATAAATATCATAAAAAATGGAGTCATAAATGAAAGTAACATTTTATGACATTTAAACATACTAGAATATGGATATTTGCTCATTCAGGTTTTGGGGGCTTTTTTAAATTAATGTTGTGAGGGGTACTGGAGGTTACTAATGCTAGCCAGGGAGGTACATATCAAATTCTTCTATCATTGTCTCTGATGTGGAATTGTTCACTCACTGCAGTGTCAGACAATCAAATCTAATCCCATAATAAATTCATGGTGGATTAATTTCCCAAAGACCCCCAGCCAGCCTTTGAGAACCTACATCAGCACTGAGTATCTTTAGTCCATGACACCCTTGTCCTGTGTGCATGTGTTTTGTGGCCCATGTCAAATGCAAATGTCTCATAATTTCCTGTTTTGTGTTCCATGAATCATGGGACACAAAATGGAATATTGGAAAATTTGCATTGCATGCCAGGCTATGCCAGGAGAATATTACTTCTAATGCTATTTTTAAAAAGGGCATATTAACAATGCAATTCTAGAATATCCCATTCCTGTTATTTAGACACAATGATATCCAGCATAGCTGACTTGTTGATTTTTTTTTTTTTTTAATCCAGTTTAGCAATTCTGTCCTTAATTGTGAAATTCATTTTGAATTTCCAGTAATTGTGCCTATGTTCAAGTACTAAGTTTACAGAATATTTCGAAGGATACCTTTTTATGTAAATTGCATTGAAAATTGCATATTTTCTTAGATATATGTAAAACGTTTCAGCTCTGTGCAACATGTTGATATTTTAAATTGCTGATCCTCAACGAGAAGTCCTGATTCTCTTCTCCCCTCCTCCACCATATGAACAAACCTCTAGTTTGGTAGTGCTCTCATAATCACTGCTTCTACAGGTGTGTGTTGGCCATGTCAAAGCAATGATGGCTATAGATACAAATGTCATATTTGTTACCACGTAACCAACATAGGGGGGAGGGCGAATTTTTTGGATGCCTGCTTTTGGCAGCAGAATTCAATACTGTCAGTACCTTCCCGTAGTGGACATTCTTTCTCCTGAAAATAAATAATTAAAAGGTAAGCTGCCATTTATTTTTTGTATTTTACCCCACTTTATTCCCTTGGGCCATAGAAGGATGTTTAAAATATATATATATATTCTTTATTTGTGCTCAGCTCACAAGTGTAAGAATAAGAAAGACTTAGATTGTTGCCTAAGCTAATACAGAGATGGAAATCGAAAGTACTGTGGCACGGGTACAGACCATCTAAGGCCAGCATACTTGGAAAGGAAAGAAATCAAAACGGAAAACATACTATTATTAAATCAAACTTAAGTGAATTAGTGATGTAAAAACCAAAGGAAAAAAGTTACCTGGGCTCTTTCCCATATCCCTATGTATATTTAAACAAATGGAGGTCATTTAGTTACTCCAATGGCCACTGGAGGGAATGCCCGCCTGCCAACGTCAAGGCAGAACCCCCTAAGCGGGTTCTACTCTGACTCTTCACCTTGCTTCCTTGAGCTTCTGGCAAAGATATCTCCAATGAGACAGAGCGGGGTATGTTTATAGACACTCTTATATAATTATTAACCCTTAATAGGATTATGGGTTAACTAAATAACCTCCATTTGTTTAAATATGAATAGGGATTTGGGAGAGAGCGCAGGTAACTTTTTTCCTTTGGTTTTTACTGTATGTACTGAGGCTGATGTGTACTATAGTCATTGCTGCCGCTCAAGAGTAGTGGGAGTTTGAGCTTAGGACTTGTTTTTTTTTTTTGTATTTAAATTAGTGATGTAACTTCTCTCTAGAAAAGCCAGTTGTCCAGCTGTGTAGTAGCGCAGTAAAAATGGTGGACTCAGGACAACAGACCAGAACCTCTAAATGTTTATGCCTCTGGGTCCCGCTAAACCATGCTTTGGGCCTATTTCTCAAAGTGAGGCGAGGTAGAGAGAGCCTGACTAGCGACCAGGGCACACATGGGGTATGCACAGCTTCTGTCAGGTCTAGGAGCTTAAATTAAATGTAAACATTAAAAAAAAAAAAGGGATCAGCAAACTTCGAACTTCCCTGGGTAAGGCAGAGTGGAGTGTCAAGTGTAATGCCTAGAGCCTCAGGTGGTGGCCGCAGCATATGCATCTGGTAAGGCTCTCTGCGGTATGAATGGCTTGACTCTCGTCGGGTCCTATCTGTGTACTGCAGGGGATGCCTCTTGGGGCTGAGATTGTGGCAAGGTATCCTACGGCACTCCCAACGTTCCCAGTAGAGCTCCCGCTTCCTGGAGATCTAGCACAGAATGTGAGGCATTTCCCTGTATGACTTGTAGAGCCTGTAGCAATCTCCATTTGTATCGGTGCATGTTATAATGTGTCTCCCGAAAGATCTACGTACAATGTTAAATAAATATCTTCTAAAGTGTATGGAGTAGTCCAATTAGAGCAGCTAATACCGCTACCTAGTCAGCGCTGTTGCGAAATAGCACCATTAGGTTTCTGGGTTCTGTCTCCGGAGCCCTCCTGGGTTTTGGGAACCTAAAAACCTCATCAAAAGGCTATTTTTCTTATCTGTTAGATAGCAGCAAGGCTCCCATTAGTCTCCGCACCAGGTTTTGAAGCTCGGCTACAGAGATTTCCTCTGTAACGCCCCTGACTTTGAGATTATTGCAGTGTCTGAGGTCTTTCAGGGCGGCAATACGCTGATCAGATATCTCTTGCTGCTTCTTGAGCTGTCGCACTTGAAGTTGAAGCTCTGCAATAGACTGAACATGCGTCTCCTTGGAGGCCTGCACCGTTCCCGAGCAACCAACAAGGCTTGTGAGGTCAGTGTGTAGCAAGGCCACATGTGCCTGGATGGTCCTCTGGAGGTCATTCGACATTTCCTTGAGTATCGTTGCAGTCACAGGTACAGAGTCTCCAGGTTTCTGAGATCTCTTCAGCTGCAGAGGAGGTTGCATCCCTGCATTACTTTCTTCCAGGGACAGGTCCTCTGAGGAATCTGAGAAATCCTCAAGGTTGGCAGCCATCTTGGACCCATATGCACCATAATTCCTTGCATGTTTTATAGTAGCGATAGTGATGGCAAAGAATGAATGATATAGCTGTATAAGAGAGTTGGGCATTCTTCCAGCATGGCTTGTTTTGAACAGGCATTATTGTGTATCTGTTCTTTTGTTTCCTTCCACTCACTATAAACTTGAATAAATGGAATCTGAAAACATAACGCATTTGGTTTGGCCTCACCTTAGTGTAATTCATTGTTAAATCAAAAACCACAGGCAAACAAAGGCTGGTATGATTTAGCACGTGCCTGAGCACAAATGTAGTGCCCATTGGACTGTAAACCAGCTTACGAGCCAAGCTGACAGAAACAAATACATCATCTTAAAGTAAATGATTTTTTTTTTCTGTGAATTCTTTGGCTCCTTTTTTTTTAATAAAATGCAAATTTATTTTTCTTTCATAAAATGCAAATTGTTGCCAATATGTTCAGTATCAACATGACTGTAAAAATTCATTTTTTTGTGATAAAATCTATCGATTGTATTTCTATAATGCATAATCAGTGTAGCCCTGCTTCTATCAATGCAGTAGAAAATATAGTAGACTGTCTACTGTAAACCAAAGCGATTTCTACTGCAGACATTTTTGTTATTAAAGGATCATTATAGGGTCAGGAACACAAACATGTAGTCCCCCTGGGCCCCTCATGCCTCCATAAATATAGCAAAATCTTACTGTATTCAAGCCCGAAGCTGTAGATCTGGATGCTGTTTGTCTCAAAAAAAACAAGCAGTGTGCTGACATCCTCAGAAGTGGTAGCCTGATCCAATCACAATGTTTCCCCATAGGATTGGCTGAGAATGACAAAGAAGCAGATCAGGGGCAGAGCCAGCATGATTCAAACACAGCCCTGGCCAATCAGCAGCTCCTCATAGAGATGAATTGAATCAATGAATCTCTATGAGGAAAGTTCAGTGTCTGCATGCAGAGGGAGGAGACACTGAATGTTTGGATACATTTTAGGCAGCCGTGACCCAGGAAGGATCTCGAACAGCTATCTGAGGAGTGGCCAGTGAAGTTATCACTAGGCTGTAATGTAAACACTGCATTTTCTCTGAAAAGACAGTGTTTACAGCAAAAAGCCTGAAGGTAATGATTCTATTCACCAGAACAAATTCAATAAGCTGTAGTTGTTCTGGTGACTATAGAGTCCCTTTAATTATAAATTGAAATAATGTTTCTGATTTTCTTTTTCTCTTTCATTTATTTATTGGAAAGACATTGAATGTCACTTAGATTTACTCGAACCCTTTTCTATTGGTTTCATAGAATCATTTTTGGGCTTCTGATTGACTAATAAATACTATCAGCATAAAATTATCCCACATCAGACAGAAAATGTATTGTCAAATTTATTTAGTTTGTAGCAGGCCATTTTACACTAAAGTGTGTTTTGACTGTCAAATTCTAGGCCACTAAAGCGGAATTAAAAATGTTGTCCAGGTCAGCTTTGTGTCCAGTTCAACTACTGTAAACCAAAAGAGAGAGAACTTTCTAACGTGTTCAATATCCCTAAATCAGTGGTGTAACGAATACAGAGAGGATATTTTTAGGGCCCACCTATAGCACATTATGGTCCTCCAAAAGGCAGATCCTCAAATCTTATACAACTCCCACAATACTTTGCCAGATGGGGTTTTACCATTTGCCCCTACTGCAAGTGCTCTTTTTGCATACCTACTTACATTTCAAATAAACAAAGAGTGAAACTTTACTTTTAGTTGTGTGAGAGTGGGTTGTGGGCAGGGGAAGGACTGTTTGTAGAATTTTTACATGAACAACTATATGCATGCACCCAGATTGACAAAGACTTCTGTGAAGGTCGAAACGTTGCTGCTTTCCTTGTTCCATTAAAATCTGCCTGCGGCTTTAACACTTGAGTGCTTGGA